CCCACTCCTGCCTCTGCAAGTGCACTGAGCCCTCTGATGCCCAGGTCCCTGCTACAGGCGTGGGAAAATTGTGTGACCCCGCTCACCAGCAGACTCAGTACTTGCAGTAATGACAAAGCTCCTGGGGGATTCCTGAACTACATGTTCCCGCACTGGTCTAGTCCATCGCTGCTTCGCAGACAGCCAAACCTTACATTCAGCCCTACCCAGGTGAGAGGGACTACTGAAGGATGAGGTTAGGCACATGGATCCAAACCACCAGTGGACTTGTGTAAGCAGCTCAGAAATTCCCAGAGACCCTTGGAATCAAACTATCGAAGTACAAAACAGCAGTTCTTCTCACCCTGACACACCCAGATGGGTGTTTTTTCCACTTGTCTTACTGACTTTTTCTGAAGACAAGGAAAAATGAAGCGACGCAAGGTGAAGACCTTAATCTGATTGCGTAGCTTTGTGGCAGGAAACGTGTTAGCGAAAATAAGCGCTTTTTTGTGCTTTACGTTGCATTTACAAATACACTGGTGGTACCTTGTCTAGAACTGCTGACTCTCTTACAAAAGAAATGTTTTGGAAGGGATGACAGGTTTTCCCTCGTATAGAATTCCTCAGTGCTCGCCAGTAAAATTCTTCAGTAACAGTAAGTATCCAAAGACCTTATTTTCACGTTATTAAGACATTTAAGTACAATACTAATTTATAAATATGCCCTGTAACAGGTAACAAGCGCAGCTTATCACTCACTGACTAGTTCAGAAACTCAGTTTTTTCTGCTGGATTTAAAATTTCCGGTGAGATCGGTGAGGAGTGCACTCAGCGCATCCGTTAGCTGAGTCAATTGAAATTGCACCTGTTCCTGGATGCAAGTCATAACAAATGCAACCCATATACATTGTAGAGAAAAGGACTTGTATGCACTTTTTCCAATTAACATCTGCCTTTTGGCAAGTCATTAACCTATTTTCCCACAAAGAAACAGCTTCAATTGTATTATGCATCCGAAGCGTGCAAAAGTCCCTGAGGGGCACTCTGACAAAAAACATACTGTTCCTGGATCCAGTGTGAACATACATATTCATTAATTGTTTGGGGCAGAGAGCACAGAATTTCTGATTTTTACAAGTCTTACAAGGTAAACAGGTTATATAAAGCTATGTCCTTGGAAATACATTCACATCCCAGCTACCATCACTCAGGAGAAAAATCAAGAGTGTTTTTGTGCTGTCATATGGCAATGAAAACAACTCAGCAGCACTGTAATAAGACTTTTAGGAACAAAAAACCCCCCTTGTTTACGCTAAAAATTCTACAGCATA